CGGTTAACAGAAAAGTGTCTTTTAGGTTTCGTATTGCCAGGCTGAATGCATAATGACCTTTTTTAAATTAAATTAAAAGTAACGAAACGTAAGAAAAAAAAATTCACGATCAGTGAATAGAGCTGAGAAAATGCCCTCATCACACATTCGCGTCCCCAGAGCCCTTGGTTTTTTTTGGTAAGGTATAAGCCGAGTGGCTTTGGGGACGAGAGAAGCGCATGCGCAGTCTGGTGCAATTGCTACTAATTTTCGACTAACATCCCTTGGTCGACTCCCCGTCTCTATTAACCCCTTCCCCCTCCAAATGGACTTGAAATAAGTATGCCTCCCCCGGGGGGAGCTTATTAGAGAATTTACCGTAAATAATTCAACTTAAAACCACAGCGCCGCTGTTGGGAAATGAGCCCGGCCCGCGCTACTTCTCCGAAAGGATTTTTCAAAGTCTGTTCTGGAAGAGGCTCAGGGGAATAAAGCAAAAGAAATGACATTGAGATACAGGGATGAATCATTCATTCGTTTTTGTTTTGTTATTTACGTGTTTCAGTTTCGAGTTTTGTGATTGTTTTGCTTTTTGCTGTTTTTTTTTAACATTATGTTTCTATTTTGTGTTTTTGTTTTGTGTGCTTTTTTGTATTTCCGTTTTGGCATTCAGCGGTGTGTTTCTGTTTCCTACTCGCGTGTTTCTGTTTTGGGGCTTGGGTTTCCGTTTTGGCTTGCGTTAGATCAGCAAAACAACAACGGTTTGTACGTGCATCACGCTTTTTGTACATTTCATTGCCTTCACTGCACGATTACGACGTGAAACCGCCTAATTTCACTTCTTATGGAAGACGTGAACACAAGACAACGACTTTTCCTGGACTTCGATTAAGTCCTTTAGAATTCAACTGCAGCAAAATTTGCCAACATTTGACTAATTGAACGAGATGGAATAAGCGCGATAAAGTTTGAAGCAGAGCGATTTCACTTTTTAAGTGACGTTTTCGTACAACCTCGTCCCCAGGGCTTTTCCCTTAAAAAAAAGCCCTGGGGACGAGGTTGGTTTTCGTAGCCGTCGCCCTTGTTGTTGCTTAAGCTACTTACTAACACTTCTCACTTGGGGCAAAAGTGTGACCTAGGGGAGGGGTAGCCACAGTTTCTTCTGTTGAGTAAAGAAAGCACGTAACCAGTCTTTTATATCTGGCCTTTTAATTATCGTGCAACAAAGCCAAAGTAATCGCGAGACCAAATCCTTTCTAATCAAAACAGATACAGATAGCGCAATGAACTAATCAGAGCTCAAAGTAAAATTCATGTGATACACAAAGGGGAACGGAAGGGGGGGGGGGGGGGGAAAGGGAAACCCGAAAGAGCCTGGACCACCCCGGTCCCCGGGGGGGGGGGGGGGGAGGACCCAATAACCCCAAGAGCTTGGCCCAGCCCGGGGCTCGGGACTTTTCCCTTAAAAAAAAAGCC